AATCAAAAATTTATTTACACTGTATTATTTAATTTATTTGAATGATCAAATATATATTAGCATTAGGACATGTGTATTTGTGTTCTATAAATTAATGTAGGCCTTAAAAATGTTTTACTTAGTTCTAGAATATAAACATCTTTTAGTTAACAATAAATACAGCGTTTTTGTCACATTACTTTTGACATGGGTAGCTTAATGTGCTTAATTATTTTTTAGGCTCAGCCACACCTTAATGAACATGAAAAGCTAATTCTTGTTCAAATACCACCCTTCTTCAGCTGCTGTGGAGATGGACACTGTCAAAGAAGAGACATTTGAGGAGGTGAACAGAGTTGGTTTTTTTTCAAAATATAAAATCTGCAAGAGTCCCAGAATGGCAAACGACCATGTGATCGGACAGCAGCTACATTTAGTCAGCTATTACAAGATATGTCATTCAAGGCCATGATGTTCTAACAGCTCATTCAATGAAAGAGGTACCATATACATGTACATGTATCTACATTGAAGGAGGAATGCCACACCAGAATTTTATTTAATAGATCTTTAAGACATCCCTTTTAAACTATGGTTTCAGCAATGAGAGACCAATATTAGCTCTTAATTATTTTATATAATTTTTGGGGGCATTTTTTCAGAGAAAATAAAAAAAAAATGTTTTATTTGCAAACAAATACTTTATAGTTTAAAATTTGCTGTTAATACCAGTAAGTGCAAAATATGAAGGTCTCACTAAAATGTAAAGAAAGGATAAAAAGACAATTAAACTTTGAATGCTGAAACCATAACTTTAAAGCAATGTCTTAAAGATCTATGAAATAAAATTTTGGTGAGACATTCCTCTTTAATTTTATTTTGCACCATTAACCAGCACTGCTGAAGTTTAAACAGGAATAGCAAATTCGATTTCAAATGAGATGTAAAATGACTACATGTAAAATACATGTAACTTCATTGAATGTTATTTTTAAATATCTAGTTATGATCAACTGGTCAAAAGAAGATTTCCTGATAAGCAAAAAAGGTTATTACACATAAAACTATTTTTTAAAAGATAATACATGACTTGGTTTAATTTTTAACTACATGTATTTCATTCTTTTTTTCAGGCAATTGAATAATCTCTGAAATCTGTAAATTACAGAGTCAGTGTGGTTGTAGATGCATGTACAGAATATAAAAAAAAGAAAAATCTACTAGCGTGCAATAACTTCTCATTCTCCCTTTCTAGAATAAGAGCATGGAAAGCTTACAAAAATGGTCCAGGTAAACTAAATTATAAAAAAATCTGAGTGAAAAGTAACACTGAACATTTCAAAAAATATTATAAAAGTACTTGACATTGTGTACAGCTCAAAGACATTCACAGCACCCCCTATGGTTGCATACAGTAAACACAAGAATATAGGTGATCTGATCATGAGATCCAAATTAAAATCGATTGAAGTTCAAAGCAATTGATTGATTTATGCATAAGGTAAACCCCTGATGAGGCGGACCTTATTACAAATATGAAATGACATGTGCTATTAAGGATGGATTCTTCTCATATTTCTTATAATGGCAGAATCTTGATTTTCTGAATACTCAATATTCAGACTGTTTACACTTTTTTAACATCCAAAAACTTTGGTGTCATCGGCCTTGATTTTCAGTCAAGGTCATTTGAAAGTCAGTCCTAAAAATAGTACTTTTACTCAGAGAAATTTGAAATTTATGCATATGAATAAATTTTGCTGACTGAAAAAATATCTTTCACCATAAAATTAAAGTTGTTACTTATTTTTGATGACTAATTCATATGAAATGAGCTGGTGAAAAGATAACTTGAAATCCTTTATATTCAATAAATACATTTAATCCGAATTTCCTTGATATTTTTTCAAAATTCTCACTTTTCATGAATTCACGTGAAATTTCATCTCAATTTTTACAACTGACCATATAATGTCAAATATTTAGATTTTTGTCTGATGAATATTCAAAGGTTCAAGATTAATTTACAAGGTAAAAAAGATATAGTAATCAGGCAAATTATCAAAAAAAATTTAGCCCGAATTTGCTCTATACTTTCTGACATCTTCAATTTACAGAGTATTTTTAATGTCTATAAGAAAGATTTTTACTCCCCAAAAAATATATCAATTTGGTGTAATTGTGACATAAACATTCATTTCTACCAGTTATACATTCTATTTTTATGGTATTTTACACTAATGATATTCAAAATATCCATTTCGAATTTCCTCTGTCTTTTTATTCTTATGAATGTTATGTTTGACAATTTTATGAAATACATCAATTTTCTAGTGGCAATTACAGAAAAATTATCACATACATTCTTCACATGCACAGGACTAATTCAAAGCAACTTAACCTTCAATATAACCAGGAATAAATAATAAACCTTCCAAAAAATTATGAGAAAAATCATACATAAAATTTTTATAGACTAGAAAAGATTTCAAAACATTATTTATGATATAAACATGTATAGTGAATATGCCATATGAATCTAGACATTCAATGTTTACATGTATAGTGAACATGCCATATGAATCTAGACATTCAATGTTTAATTAAGAATATCAGAGGGACTAATATACATGCCTATACATGTATATGTAGTTATATACATATAGGTCCCTGGTATTATGTTATTATTGGATATTTTACATTTGTAAACTGAGCTTTGAAAACAACAAACAAATTCAAAGAATTGTGGTCCCCCGCTTTCGATGTCTTAGTGGATGGGATGCCATTATTTATGGCATATTGTAACTGTCTTGTTTGTTTGTCCTGTCTTATCTGTGCATCATACAAAAAAAGACATAAATTATTGAATTAATAACAGTTATGGCAAAGACTATAGCTTCTCAAAACTACATCAAACTTCAAGATCAAGGTCATGAGGTCAAATATCGTAATAAAATCCAAAAGATCTTACAAGTGATGCACATGTAAAAAAAAATATCAGAAACCAGAGTATACAATCAGAAAGATCTTGAAACAGGTAATGCACATGTCAAATGTAAATACCATATCTTCTCTCTATCAAACGTTATTAGCAATGATAAACTTTTAAAAAATTAGGTCAAACTTTAAGTTCAAGGTCATGGGATTAAAAATCATAGTACATTTGGAAATGCTTGTCACAGGTAATGCACTTGTCAAATATGAATGCCCTATCTTTGCTCCTTCAAAAGTTAGCAAACTGATGAAATGTTTGAAAATTAGGTCAAACTGGAAGGACAAGGTCACGGGGTCAAATATCATAGCATATTCAGAAACGTTTTGACACAGGTAATGCACTTGTCAAATATGAACACTTTATCATATGTCATTCAAAAGTAATCACCGAATATAAAATTTTTGAAATTTAGGTCAAACATGAAGGTCAAGGTAAAGGGGTCAAAAATTATAGCATGCTTGGAAACACTCTGTCACTACTAATGCACATGTCAAATATGAAAGCCCTAACTTTTCTAAATCAAAAGTTATAAACAAAGATAAAAATTTTGAAAAGTAGGTCAAACTTCAAGGTATTGGTCATGGGGTCAAAAATCATAGTACATTTGGAAATGTATTCTTACAGGTAATGTTCATATTTAATATGAAAGCCCCATCTTTTCTCATTTAAATTTAATGGCCAATTTAAAGAAATGTTAATTTTTTGAAAAGTAGGTCAAACTTCAAGGTCAAGGTCACGGGGTCAAAAGTCATAGTATAATTTCGAAAGGTCTTGTCACAGGTAATAAACAGGCATAATATGAAAGTCCTATCTTTTCTCATTCAAAAGTTATGACCAATTTAAGGTAATGTTAATTTTTTTGAAAAGTAGGTCAAACTTCAAGGCCACAGGGTCAAAATTCACAGTATATTTGGAAAGGTCTTGTTACAGGTAATGTACATGTGAAATACAAAAGCCCAATCTCTTCTCACTCAAAAGTTATGGCCAAGATTAAAGTTTTTGTGACAGACAGACTGACAGACGAATGAGATTTAATGTCACCTCTCTTTCGCGAAAGCAAGGGACAATAAATACCTACACACATTTATAAGTATATAGTTTATTCAGCAACAATAAATATAACTCCTCAATGTGATCATATATTGCGTAAACTTAATTTGCTGGAGTTTTAAGATAACAAAAAAGCCATCTATGACAATCAAATGCCCTTTGACATCTTTGCCTGAAAATGACATCCTTGAACTTTGTAACAATAATATGCATGCAGCTATCAAACCTAATTTCACATTTAGATGCGAAATACTTATTCAAGGATGAAATATCTTTTTGAGAATTTGTAACACAAACATTTATATATCAGTGTCAATAACTTGTATTGAAATTGAATTAAAAATTACCTCTTGAGGGTTTCTACTGCAAGTACATGACTGTATATTTCATTTGTAAAAATCAAAATTTTAACCCGGCCACTACCAGCAATTTTGTACGGCATGCTCTTGCTTAAAATCACCCTTTAACTAAATGATCTAAAGCAGGCACATTTTTATGCATTTCAGAACTGTATTTTAAAATTGTATCTGTATTTGCAAATGTAAAGCAACTGAATACATAGAGCTAGGTATATATCATTTACAAGTTGTTGTAATGCCAGTACATGTACATGTAAATCTTCACATTGTATTCTAATGAAAGATAATGCTTGAAAAATTCACTCTGGGAATAAGATTTCAAATCTGAATCACAGATTTTGTAAAGTAATCACATTCTACAAAGCGTGCACTGTATCGGGTACTTGAGAATCAAATAATTAAACGTTATATAATTATAAATAAAACTATTTTTGACTGAAAGTTTCTGAAAAAAATCAAGAATGGAATCATGCAACAAGCAGCAGTGACTCTGATAACATGCATTGACTTCCACATTTCTAAAAAAACATTTCTTTGATCAGATAAATATGTGATTCCTGCTTCTGACATGATATATTCTGAGAAAATCTCTTTTTCACAGACAGCCATCATTCATTTGATGTGAGAATTTCTTCCTGAACATGTGTCCACCTGGTGAAAGTCAGAATTTTTTGTTGACCTATAATTTTAAAAAAAAAGTAATATATTTTACATAGCAGCACAGATGCTGCATTACATGATAGTTAGATAAAGTTGTGTCTATATTTCTTATACATGTACCTCAATAGTCCATCTGCCAGCACTCCCTGCTCAATCATCCTGCATTTTGACCTCCAGTCTTTTTTCTAGTCTAGGGTAAAGCAGGGTTGTTTTTCTCCTAAGAATTAAAGATGAACATCCCTTTTCACTATTTTTTTTTTCAAATTAATGAAAATTGATTATAAGATTAAACAACTTATCTCATCTGTATTTTATTTATTGATTTCAATGAATGAAGATATTTTAATAGATTCTACCACATGTATAATGTCTTATATTATAATGTGTTGGATATAAATAAATAGACATTTTTTATCTTAAAAGTACAGAAAAGTAAAAAGACAATAATATAAATAGTTTTTAACAATAATGTTTCATTTTGCTCTATTTATTAGACAATTGTGTGTTTCAATATTATTGATATTTCCACATACAATATTAAGTTATTTTTCCGTTTGATTTGTACCCAAGCGGAACACCTTACTTTTCTAATAACTTGATGATTGTTGTGTCTTGAACAAAGTAGTCTAGTTAAAAATATAAATTTGTTGTAATCATATACAAAAAATGCTATTTTTGTGAATTATTATTCATAAACCTGACGAACACACGAAATATATCCTCTTCAAATGTTGACAAGTCGGGGGAATAAGCAGACGAAATATTGATAACAGATCTATAATTTCCGTGCGAATTCCCATAAATCAATACAAACCAGCATGTAATTGAATTCAATTTCAAAATTATAAAAATCTTCAGACATATAACGTTATAACTAACTTACATGCTCACTGCACACGACATGACATCAGACGAGGCAACGTGGATCTGCAATCTTGCACATGTTTGTGACCTTCAAGTTGATCGGAATGCCCCGGGCATAAATAACTATGATTTAATTTGTCATAACTGTCCGTGGGCTTCTGGAATGCTTCAATAATGTTCACAGTTTGTAGGTTTTACAAAACAACCCTCTCGGGGTTTTCTACGGAAAATGATCTGGACATGTTGACATTCGCTACCGAACTGCGAATATTATGGCGATTGTCGCAAATCCAAGAAAATATTACGAAAAATTTATATATTTCAAAAGAAATAGATTCAACATTACTTAAACTGACAAATTAACTAATAGTTTTTCCTTCAGTATAATTAAATATGAATTTTGCATTTTACGACTTGCATAATTTATGGAGACCCATTGACGACGTAAAATGCTGACAAGAATCCATCCTTAATACCGCCGAAACACTCTTAAGTAATTTTGACACACAAGCAATTGACCAAATGCTTCATTAAGAGTGTCGGGTTCTAATAAGTTTAAGACATGTCTGGATGTTAGGATGCCGTCGTTTTTTTGCACACGAGTGAAAAGTAACACTGAACATTTCAAACAAATATTATAAAAGTACGTGACATTGTGTACAGCTCGGAGACAACACATTTTCTTTGTTTAGAACAAAATTGGAAAATAGTCAAGCTGATTAAATATATGTTAAAAGTTTTAATATTTATTCTTTAATTGAAATATGTGAAACAAAAAGAGAAACTTTGAGAATGGAGCTTAAACTAGACTTTCAGATAACTTGATTTAATTGGGTGGCCAAATTATTGCTGCTACTATTCCTATTATCCCTTCTTTTTATGTTTGTTATATTTACTAAATGCTATAAGATGTATGTCTTGGGCAATAAAGATTATATATTATCCCATAGATAAAAAAATGGTTAAGTTTACGTCAGTTTTAACTTGACAGTGTTTTCTTAAGTAAATCTTTGCAGCTCCCAATTAAATATGAGAATGATTTAAATATATATTTTGCAGGAAAACTTATCTCTTCCCCAACTATACGAAAAGTGGATCCTTTTCAAATTCAAAGTGAAGTATCCCAGGGAGCATGTGAGATTGTTTTTTCACAGTCTGCCACCAAAAATTAAGAGAGAGGAAAACATTTACACTTGTACCAATGATGGTTGCACCCTATTGTTCTTTAAATTTTCCTTATAGATTATCATGTACAGTCTCCTGTGTGATTGCTACATGTAAGTGGGGTGCAGTAATAGACTTCTTATTTTACAGTTTTAATTCTGATGTAAAATCCTGTTTTTTAGTGTTCAATCAGTTATGGTACTAGTAATGGGCCACTCTCCTTGTAAACAGCTTGATGCCAAAATGTCTCTCAACATCAAATACAATATCAAATTGTTTTAACTGAATAAAAAACATATTTATCATATTTCCAAAACCAGATTTGTTATATTTTTTTTTCAAAACAACCACTTTTGACAAGGATATCATAGGCTTCCTTTTAATAAAAATGAAAGAGGAACAGAATGTTCACACACACAGAAAGAGAAAGCTTCATAATGCTAAATTTCCATACAGAAGAGTCTGTATTAAGTGTAAGTACTAACTAGAATGTCTGTGTTTCTGAGCTAGAAGTGACTAGTAAATGGTCAAAATCCAAGGTCAAAAGGTCAAATTATCGATATCAAGGGGAAGGCCTTGTAATAAGAAATATACATGTGAAATATTAAAACCCTAGCACCAACTGTTCAAGAGGTATGGTCAAGGTTAAAGGTTATCAAAAGTAGGTCAACCTCCAAGGTCAAATGGTCAATATTGTTGGTATCCATGGGGAGGCCTTGTTACGTGGAATACACCTAAGAAACATGAAGGCCCTAGTAGTGACTGCTCAAATGTTATTTCCAAAATTAAAGTTTTTAAAGTGGGTCAAACTCCAAGGTCAAAAGGTCAAAATAATTTACATCCATGGAAAGGTCTTGTCAAAATGTATATACGTGAAGTATGAAAGCCCTAGCACCAACTGTTCAAAAGTTATGGACAAGGTTATTTGCAAAATTGGGACAAACTCCAAGGTCACGATGTCAAATATGTGGTACCCAAAAGAAAGGTTTTGTCAAAGGAAATACACATGTGGAGTATAAAAGCCATAGCTCCAACAATCAAAAGTTATGGGCAAATAGGGCATTGTTAAAGTTTTTGCAGATAAACAGACAGACAGACTGGCGGACAGGGCAAAAACTACATGTATATACCCCAAAATCTTCGATTACGGGGGCACAAAAACATATAATAAACATATTATAATCATTCGTACCAAAGAAATAATAAAAACACACTCATATAGATCTAATTTTGTTTTCTTGCTGTCAAATGAAAAAAAAACATGCTCTTTAATCCCTTGTCTAAACAGCTATTGGAAGACCTGTTGCTAAGGAAAATTCAACATGGCTATTTCCATAGCAACCACTCGAATTTTTCAGAATAAACTATGATATATTCCTCTTCTAAACATTATCTCATATGATGAATAAATGTGATATTGATTGAATTATTTTACCATGATTCACCCTCTGTCTGATCTTAAAGAGATCAGTATTATAACTATAACTCATACGTATAGAACATTATATAGCATATCATATAAGATGAAAGGTTACCATGGCAACTATGCATTTAACAACGAACACATTAACATATTAAGAATTTCTTATGAAATTATCAGTTTAATTGATGTTGAGCTGATTGACTTTTTTTGTTATTAAATGAGGCACAATATGAAAATCCCATGTCTATATTTACAACAAAAGCATCGTAAATGAACATAGTTGCCATGACAACTAGTAAAATTTATTAAAAATTAAAATTCTGGATTAATATTTGTAAGATTGTTTCATATTTTAGTTTTTCCAACATCTTTTAATCCAAAAAAATTATATAAACCTAAATAAATCTATCTTGGAGTATTTTTGATATTGCCATGGCAACAATTTTGAAAGGCATTTATTTTGCCTTTAAGAAAAAACACAACTTTCATTTTTCAGTATTTTTTCCCTCAATGTCAAATTCACATTATGCTTAATTGAGATGGAAATCTGTCGTTGCATTTTTCTTTAGTAAATGCTCAAAAATGTAATAAAAAAGCATTTCCACAATATTAATGAATTTAGCACAATATTGATATTTTGGCGATTAAATTAAATGCAAAGATGATAGTCAAATATTAATTATTTGCATCATTTTTGTTGCTTTCAGTCTAATTCTGAAGCAGATATATTTATTTTTTATTTAACTATATTGGTGTTTTAATTTCATTTGTTTAAAAAATGTCAAAAACAGTGCTGTGAAAGGCATGCAGGAGGCCATATTTAGTGATATGTGGTTACCATGGTAACGACACCCCTAATAATTTTTTTTTGCTAAATTTCAAGAAAGGGTGTTGTATAAGTAACAATTATAAAATTTGATCAGAATCTGTAACATCACCTTTCCACCGATTATTGAGATATTTTGGTGCTTATAGAGAGTGGCTCTTAATACAGCTAACCAAAGTAAATCTGGTTAACAATATTTTTCTTTTGTACTTTTTTAATGAGGAAAAATAGACAATTCTCAGTCATCCCTATCACTTCATAAAACCTGGATTAACACATGAATTTTGTATAAAACGAATTAAATGCATTTAACAATACCCTTCCTTTCTGCATTCTTCTTCAAGCTGGTTTCCTAGTACACCCAGGCATGAAAAAATCACTAAAACACAAGGCCTCATTTCATCACAAATGAAAGCTATAATGTAATATTCTAACTGAAAATAACTTCCTGATTTACCAACATATAAACAATATTGCATTGCTACATCAAACAGGATATATGTAAAAATAGTATGATAATGAATTGTTTGTGAGTGAAATACCTTGAAAAGACTTGTATTTTCTCTGACATTTTTTGAGTGATGTTTCGAACGTTTGTTAAAATTAATTATGTATGGAAGATTGAAGCAAACCGCATTGTATGATTAAAATAAAATATTTACTTTGTATGTTATTCCATTCAGCCAACTATGAAATTGATATAGATGAAATCTGTTTATATGGTCACACGTAGAAATGTACACGGAAAAACTTGAGCAAAAACGAGGTTACAATGGGGTTAGTGCAATAATGAGATAGTTACAGAAATATAATGACATAGGGCAGAAAAAAATCAAATCTTCAAAATTTCTTCTGATTTTCAGCATAGTTAATATCCATGAAAATAAAAGATTGTATTTCAATAACATTGGTGTGTAAATCACAAAGACTTGCATGTGCGCATATTTTTCAAACAGGTTGCGTGAAAGGTCTGTGCTAATTTACACACTATTTACACTCCCAAAGCTAAAAAAGAGGCTGCTTTTATAACACTGCAAAATGTAATAAGGATCCATTTCAATTTGTAAGAACTTTAGAAATGCGAAAAAGCAATCACGAATTTGAAGCTGTATTGAATGGTATATTTAGAACAGTAATCTGTAAAATGTGTATCTCTATAACTGAACCCTCTTCATATCGTTTATTTTTATTTATTTGTTTTCTTCTGTTCTCCATATTGATATTCATTTGAATTAGTTTTCATACAAAACTTACAAATAGCATTTGGAGATGAGTCTTGCATTCATATGAGCACTTTACGAGATAAGTGAATGGTAAAATTTATATCCCTGCCTCTACTTGGCCAGAACTTGCTTTGACAGAACTGGGCAGTTTTTCTGCTCTCTGTTTAAAAATCCGTGACATTTACATCTCATAAAGAATGACAGAACATCACAATCTATAAAACAAAGCCCCGGATCAGACCTAGGTCTTTGGTTGAGCTACGCTTTTTTGTGGATTTTTAAAGAAATAATCAACGCTGCTTTAAAACGGGAGGTTGATGTTGGAAAAGCTGAATTTATCCCCTTTGTCATATATGTAAAGTATGGTTATAAGTTTGCCATTATTGTTTGGAGTTAGTATAAAATCTAAATATGAATCAGATGTAGCTGACTCTGTAGCGCATTATCCATTCTATATGAGTCAATATGCTAAAAGACGCACTTCACTGCGAGGACAAAATGTGACATCTATAAAAAGAAAAATATGCCCTAATGAAAAAAATGAAAGGAAAAAGTGCAACACTACATGTACCTAGAGGATAAATAATTTCTGTTTGAAAAATAATCATGTA